GGTATTGTGGCACAGTGGAAAAAGCAATGTGCAACATTCCACCTTTTAACCTGGTGATAAAGGTCTCCAAGAGGCAACTCATTGAGATGAAAGTCAATTGTAAACTAAGCCGTTTGCACTCTCCACTTTCGTATAACTAGGCATTGCACAAAAAAGTCAAACCATAAGCTCAACCAATATTTCAGTTCCTTCCCAGTCAGCATTCAATGGTGGATCATAAACCATGATCTTTTAAATCTAGAATGAACTCATTGCTTTAGACGTTAGTGTTTAGTTTATCGTCATTCCCTCACACCTCTGATGAGCATGTCTGGCTACACACGGTGGTGTGAAAGAAGTTCAAAATATAGTACATACATCTTTCAGTGTCCCTGCGATGTAACAATCCATCTGGCACCTGCACACGAGATGAATTCAGAACTCCAGGTTTACAATGGATGTCCTCCAGCATATTCCCTCGAGCTGCCAGACCTCCTCGCCCCCCTTCCCCCTTCAAGATACGTGCTCTGCCAAAGCTAAGTACGTGCAAGTACGTGCAAGATGGCGCCGATGATGGCAGCCTCGGCCGGTTGGTGCGCCCTGTTTTGTCCAGTTTTGTCTTGTTTTGTCTTGAGAGGGGCTTGCTGTTCAACACACTCGTGCTGGTGAGAGAGGCCTGCTGTTTTGGGGCCTGCTGTTCATCACACCCGTGCTGGTGAGAGAGGCCTGCTGTTCAGTACACCCGTGTTGAGGGGCCTGCTGTTCAGCACACCCTTGCTGGTGAGAGGGGCCTGCTGTTCAACACACCCGTGCTGGTGAGAGGGGCCTGCTGTTCATCACATCCGTGTTGGTGAGAGGGGCCTGCTTTTCATCACACCCGTGCTGGTGAGAGAGGCCTGCTGTTCAGCTCACACGTGTTGAGGGGCCTGCTGTTCAGCACACCCGTGCTGGTGAGAGGGGCCTGCTGTTGAGGGGCCTGCTGTTCATCACACCCGTGGTGAGGGGCCTACTGTTCAGCACACCCGTGCTGGTGAGAGGGGCCTGCTGTTCAACACACCCGTGCTGGTGAGAGGGGCCTGCTGTTCAACACACCTGTGCTGGTGAGAGAGGCCTGCTGTTCAACACACCCGTGCTGGTGAGAGGGGCCTGCTGTTCAACACACCTGTGCTGGTGAGAGAGGCCTGCTGTTCAGCACACCCGTGGTGAGGGGCCTACTGTTCAGCACACCCGTGCTGGTGAGAGGGGCCTGCTGTTCAACACACCCGTGCTGGTGAGAGGGGCCTGCTGTTCAACACACCCGTGCTGGTGAGAGGGGCCTGCTGTTCAACACACCCGTGCTGGTGAGAGGGGCCTGCTGTTCAACACACCCGTGCTGGTGAGAGGGGCCTGCTGTTCAACACACCCGTGCTGGTGAGAGGGGCCTGCTGTTCAACACACCCGTGCTGGTGAGAGGGGCCTGCTGTTCAACACACCCGTGCTGGTGAGAGAGGCCTACTATTCATCACACCCGTGCTGGTGTGAGGGGCGTGCTGTTCATCACCCCCGTGTTGGTGAGAGGGGCCTGCTGTTCACTCCCATGCTGGTGAGAGAGGCCTGCTGTTCACCACTCCCATGCTGGTGAGAGGGGCCTGCTGTTCAACACACCCATGCTGGTGAGAGAGGCCTGCTGTTCACCACTCCCATGCTGGTGAGAGGAACCTACTGTTCAACACACCAGTGCTGGTGAGAGAGTCCTGCTGTTCAGCACCCCCGTGCTGGTGCGAAGATGGCGCTGATGATGGTAGCCTCAGCCGGTCGGTGCGCCCTGTTTTGTCTTGTTTTGTCTGTCAATTCAGTGTTTTGCCAAGATTTTCGGAGTTCTCTAACAAGAGACGAACTTTTAAATATCAGGGAAACAACTCCTGTGGATTTAATTCCTACTTTTCTGCTTCCAGCGGCAGAATTAGTAGGCATTCTAGTCAATGCCGCGCTAGGCTTTGCTCAAGCAACGAAATGCCGCCCAAGGGGTAAACGGTCGGGGGCTCTAGTACGGCTACGCAGACGTGGGATCCGAACAGTGCTTCCGAGCTTTTTCTCCTCCAACGTACGTTCACTGTATAACAAAATGGATGAACTTCAGCTACTGATGGTAAAAAACAAAGACTTTCTTTCAGCTTCTGCATTGTGCTTCACGGAAACATGGCTGTGTGATTTGATTCCGGACACTTCGCTACAACTAGCAGGATTCCATCTTGTAAGATCGGATCGTGACATAGCACTCTCCGGCAAGACGAAAGGCGGTGGTATTTGTTTTTACATTAACAGTGGCTGGTGTGTAGATGTCACAGTGATTCTGCAACATTGTTCTCCACTCCTTGAATCAATTTTTATAACCTGTAAACCGTTTTACTCGCCTCGCGAGTTCGCGTCGCTCATTTTGGTCGGAGTTTATTTGCCGCCTTGTCCTCAGGTTAAAGAGGCCCAACGCATGCTCGCCGATCAGATTCTGAGTGTGGAGCGAGCAAATCCAGATTCGTTGGTTATCGTACTTGGCGACTTTAACAAAGGTAATCTCAGCCACGAACTCCCCAAATACATACAATTCATTAAATGCCCAACCAGAGAAGGGAACACTCTGGATCACTGTTACACTACAGTCAGTAGAGCCTACCACGCCGTCCCCCGAGCAGCATTAGGACACTCTGACCATGCCATGGTCCACCTGATTCCTGCATACAGGCAGAAACTAAAACTCTGTAAACCTGCTGTGAGGACATCTAAACAGTGGACCAGTGAGGCTGTGGAAGATTTGCGGGCGTGCTTAGACTGTACTGACTGGGATATGTTCACGACTGCTACCAATAGTCTGGATGAACTCACAGAGGCTGTGACGTCCTACATCAGCTTCTGTGAGGACTGCTGTATCCCAACACGTACCAGGGTGAACTTTAACAACAATAAGCCCTGGTTCTCAGCAAAGCTCAGAAGGTTGAGGTTGGAGAAGGAGGAAGCGTTTAGGAGTGGAGATAGAGACAGATTCAAGGAGTCGAAGAACAGGTTTAGCAAAGCGGTGAGAGAGGCTAAACGACTGTACTCAGAGAGACTAAAACACCAGTTCTCTACAAACGACGCTGCTTCTGTCTGGAGAGGGCTCAGGCAGATCACCAACTACAAACCCAGAGCCCCCCACACCACTAACGACTCCCGCCTAGCCAACGACCTGAACGAGTTCTACTGTAGATTTGAAAGACAATTGGACTGTCCTGAACCACCCCTTCCAACCCAAGAGGCCCCATCCCCCACCAATACTACAGAGACGACTATCTCCTTTCAGGAGGGAGAAGTTAATAGACTTTTGAAGAGGCAGAATCCACGCAAAGCAGCCGGGCCGGACTCTGTCTCTCCAGCCACCCTCAGGCACTGCGCTGACCAGCTGTCTCCGGTGTTCACCAACATCTTTAACACCTCCCTGGAGACATGCCATGTACCAGCCTGTCTCAAGTCCTCCACCATCATCCCTGTGCCCAAAAAGCTAAGGCCAACAGGACTAAATGATTACAGACCGGTCGCCCTTACATCTGTGGTAATGAAGTCTTTTGAGCGCCTGGTCCTGGCACACCTCAAAGCCATCACAGACCCTCTCCTGGACCCCCTTCAGTTTGCCTACAGAGCCAACAGGTCTGTGGACGATGCAGTTAACATGGTCCTCCACTTCACCCTACAGCATCTGGACGCCCCAGCATCCTACGCCAGGATCCTGTTTGTGGACTTCAGCTCTGCCTTCAACACCATCATCCCTGCCCTGCTTCAGGACAAGCTCTTCCAGCTGAACGTGCCATACACCACCTGTAAATGGATCACAGACTTCCTGTCTGACAGGAAGCAGTGCGTTAAGCTGGGAACACAAGTCTCTGGCTCCAGGTCCATCAGCACCGGAACTCCTCAGGGCTGCGTCCTTTCCCCAATGCTCTTCTCCCTGTATACCAACAGCTGCACCTCCAATCATCTGTCCGTCAAACTATTGAAGTTTGCGGATGACACCACCCTCATTGGGCTGATCTCTGGTGGGGATGAGTCTGACTATAGGTGGGAAGCTGACAATCTGGTGACCTGGTGTAGCCAGAACAACTTAGAGCTAAATGCTCTAAAGACAGTTGAGATGGTTGTGGACTTCAGGAAGAATACAGCACCACTCACCCCCATCACCCTGTTAGACTCCCCAGTAAAAATTGTAGAGTCCTTCCACTTCCTGGGCACTATTCTCTCCCGGGACCTCAAGTGGGAATTGAACATCAGCTCCCTCACCAAGAAAGCTCAACAGAGGATGTACTTTCTACGGCAGCTGAAGAAATTCAACCTGCCAAAGACAATGATGGTGCAATTCTATACAGCGATCATTGAATCCATCCTCACCTCCTCCATAACCGTCTGGTACGCTGCTGCCACTGCCAAGGACAAGAGCAGACTGCAGCGTATCATCCACACTGCTGAGAAGGTTATTTCCTGCAATCTACCGACCCTCGAGGACCTGCACACGACAAGGTCTATGAGGCGAGCGAGGAAGATTATGGCCGATTTCTCCCACCCTGGACACTCTCTGTTTCAGCTACTCCCCTCCGGCAGAAGGCTTCGGTCCATCAGGACCAAAACCTCACGCCATAAAAACAGTTTCTTTCCCATCTGCTGCTGGCCTGTTAAACAAGGCCAAGGGCTAACACTGTTTTTAACATTTGATCTACATAACGACACGTTGCTGATATTAACTATGTTTCCCTATTTGTATTTTTAAATTATATCTTAAAGCTATTTTATATTCGATATTTATTTAATTTTATATACTTCAGCCCCTTAGTGTTAGACTTTTAACCCTTATTATAGTAAGACTTGTTTAAAACTTATTTAAGATTTTAGATTCCTATATGTTGAATGTATGCACCATCCTGTCAAAGTAAATTCCGTGTCGGTGTGAACTTACATGGCGAATAAAACCCTTTCTGATTCTGATTCTGATTACCGATGCATTAAACACACCTGAGCCTGTGCATGACCTCGGGCAAAATCTTGTCCAGGTTTTTATTATGCGATGAATTACAGCATTACACACACACACAAAACCAAATAATAAAAAGACAAGAAAATAAATATACTGTAACAATACACAACGTATGTCTTCTTAGTTGATGCCAAATGATTCTTTGTGCTAAAAAAGGTCATTTAAATACATAAATCAGACTCAAGCTTTCATATATGTATATACATATGCCTTTGTGTATATATGTATATAAATATAGGTATACATACTGTATTATACACATATGCTGTATATAACACTATATACATAAAGTACAGAAACATATATACAAGGGGGCAATTCATGGATATTTGAAGTACACACAAAACATAGCTTTAAAAAGCAATGACACAATTATACTTCAATTGGTATACTGCAGCCAAATCAAACCCCAACGCTGCTTGATTTAACTTTAACCCTCGGTTCATAATATTTGGCCACCCCTCGTATACATGCCGAGTTGTACACTTACACTAACACACGTATATACATATATAAAAGCACGTCTATACACGCACACAGTATCATACATATATACACACACGGGCGCGCGTGCGCACACACACACACAAACAGGAAACCAGGAAAATTATGAACCATCGACATACGATAACTTCACGCCACATTCGCGCAAATGCAGAGGGGGGGGCGGCGATGGCTGCAGGGCTAGATTTTTGGTTTGCGATCGCAGGGGGCTGTGTGCAACTCTGCCCCCCCCCCCTCCATGCTCTAAACCCCCTCGTGCGTAGAGGGAACCCAGCGCCAACACAGGGGACCTAATTCAAGCGCCGGTGGAAACGACTTTTGTTTGATTTTCGACAGAAAAACGGCCAAATCAGCGGAAAGTAGCAGCTATTTCGGCCGTTGCGAATTAGGCCCAAAGGACCTAATACACGTTTGGCAGAAAAATGGCCACGAATCTGCAATGTTTTGCCGAGTTGGCGAATTATCTTTGAAGAAGTGATTTCCACCAAAGCATGAATCAAACCAGGAACTCCCCCTGTTGTGGCGGTGGCAGCATTCTTATGTCATTACCGTTTGGTTTTACGGCTCTTTCCAGTTTGAACCTCAAATGGCAATGCACAATTTAACTTCATGAATTCGGGCTGCTTTATTCTCGGTACACGTCAGATTTTGACACCATTATACTTCCAGCTCGTAAACCCTAACTATTGGGGGGGGGGGGGGGGGGTGTTGCATGCAGCCCAAAAAAAATAATCGACAAGAAGCCAGTCAAATCGAACTTCTTGCAGCAGGGGCCCTCAATCGTCCTAGAATGCTAGGCCACATTTTCCCCCTTGTTCATATCACTTAAGGTGGCATAATTCTGATTTACACGGCAACCATTTGAAATTAGCTGCGGTATGAAACGATCCACTCGTATTTTGCCATGTACATTGCTTCATGCATTGGTAGTACTCCAACATTAGGTGGTACTAATATTTGCTCCGGTTCGTGGACTATCGAGTCCTGGGTCTCAGCCAAGGCTCTTCTTCTGGATTAAGGACTTTGTTGTAAATTACCTTGAGCATGCAACAAAAGTCAGAATTCTACAAAGTACAAAAAAAATACATTCAGAAAGAAAATGTTAACTTGTGGCAGTGATTTTATAGCAACGTCGAGAGCTTGACATTTGGATCCATGGAGAGGCTTCATTTGGCTGAACTTGGACTGGCTTTCGCTACAAGACAGAACCCACCCCCCCCCCCTCTTCAACCGCGTCACTGCACACGTGGACAAAGCACAACGCGTAATTCAGCGTGTGGCCCCCACCCATTAACACAAACATAACTATAACCTCCACTCTCTTGAAGATAAATTGTCTCAAAACATAACTGAGATTACCCTGAGCTTGCCATTCTAACACAGTGCAGCACACCAAGGAAATACGGCCGGGCGGTAAGACGAGTGCACCGAGCTTGTACCCACACACATCAGTGGCGAGGCAGTCCGAGTTGCCCACGGACTCCCGCCAACGTGACATCGCTGCTGGCGTGATGCACTGCAGGATGGTGACGCGAAGATGGGGCAGCAGACTTGCATTTAATTTTTCTGTGTCCATCCTGCTGCGAGTCGGTGGTCAATGTTTATCCTTCATAATGCTACTGCAAAAAGTATATATGTACTTCATGGCGGGCGGAAGGTAGTCTGTAAATATACACAGTGCTAGGTGCACAAAACGACGTAAAATGTTTTAGATGGTTTGGAACGGCATTGATTTTCCGTTTCACTCGTATTTACAGTCTCGACGGCCGGGAAAAAGTGTACAGCGGGGAAGGTAACGTCCTACAACTGGCCTCCGTATTAAAGCAAAGAACAGAGGCAGATGTAGATATCATAATGTACATATATGTACGACATCCAGACTGCACATACAAACACAGAGGTCAATTCAAGAACAGTGCCCATGATTGGTGAACAGTCTTCACAGCGCGTGGTCTACGCATGTGAGTTTCCGATTCCAGCCACGCCTGGGTCCTGGGATTGTGACGTTCGGAGATGCGAGGCGAGAAGCAGCAGCAGCAGCCTTCCAAGCACGTTTTCTCATGCATATATTTGCTTAACACTGCACAGCGAGCCCACCAGGTTTCCAGTGGGACTTTGGGCTGCCTACGACGGACAAAAAAAGTGCATGCTTCACTACTAATTTATGCACAAGCCACGTCCGCACGCTACCACCGTGTCCCCGCTCTACGCATTCCATAATTCGGCATGAAGGCATGCACACGCCACAACCGAGCCGACGAGTAGGTGCAGCAGCAGGGGGGATGAGAGGCGCACGATGACGACAGCACCTTGACCAATCGGCCCCACGGCACGGCTCACTCGCAGTGGGGGGGTTGGCCTCCCGTCGCTCACGCGAACCAACTTTCCATGGCAAGCGCCACCCTCCCCCCCAGCCCTTCCCCCACCCCTTCCTTTCGAAGAACAACAATGACTGAAAATTCTCCATTTTTCGACCGGAAGCGGAAGGGACTTTCAGTCGTCCAGCGGAATGACCTCCGGGCCGGAGCTGTTGTGCATGTCGGGCGGCCCCGGTGTGAAAACGTGCGCTGCGTGTGGGTCGCGGAAGCCGCTGGACGACGACAGGAGGCTGCTGGAGCTCGTGCTGCTTGTGACCGACAGTGGCCCGCCGACGGGCGACGTGAGCGCGTCCATGGGCGCCGTGCCAACGACGGGCGACGTCAGCTGGTCCAGGTAGACCGGCGGCGTCACGTACGGAAAGAAGCCGTGGCCGCCCAGTGCGGAGCGCACCATGTCCTGGTCGTCACCGGAGCTGGCGCCCCCCAAGCCCGAGCTGCTGTAGTGCTGGAGCACAGCAGCGGCGTGTGGGAGCGACAACGTCAAAGAGGTTAAGGCGAAGCCGAAAGCGAGCCGATTACACTCCTCGAACGTAACACAGCAACGTAAAACTAACTTTTCCGCACCTCCGATTAGCAAGGTTGGTTACGTACGGTGCGAAACAAGTTCAACATGCATACATTAAGTATGCGCATGCGAAAATCATTAACATCTATACTGTGTGGAACTCAAGTGTTCGCAGAGAACGTAGAGAGGAGGTTTTAAGAATATGGTGTCTCAAGTGATAAGTGAAAGGTGTCACTATTCCGGAGGGTTTTCCTACCTGACTATCTCCTTGCAGCAAGGAAAACAGATCCAATCCTACAGCGGCACCAACGGAATGGACAAAAAAAACACACAATTAGTGACTGGAGATAATTAATTTCATTGCATTACGATGTAGTGCAAAATACTTCCGGTAACCTTAACACAATAATGCCCTTCACATGCATAGAACATATTGCGCATTTCATATACGGTAGGTATGCTGAATGTTGAACTTCTTTCGCACCGTACATAGCCAACCGAGCTAATTGAAGGCGCGGGGGAAGGACAAACTAAACACAAAAAGCAGTTGTAAAGAAATGAGTTTTCAATCGAGATTTATTGTCCGAATGATCAGGACACTCCGATTCATATTTGTGTTTTGGGTTAGGACACGTGATAGTTATGCCAAAAATGTCGTCACCACCCCCACGACCCCCCCAATGTTAATCACAATGTATCGATCAAACTAACCAAAAAAGCTCGTGACTGGTGGCTTAAGACTTTTCATTACAGAACACCAATGTACGACGTTTCGCCCCGGTAAATCAGAAAATCAACTCTGGAATCGAGCATATTTTTAAGTTCGGACACGGATGAGTAAAAGCAAAAACACCGCGGGTTAAGCACCAATGAAGAACTTCACGCATCCACGGCCTCGACACAGCAGGCATTAGAAACCGGAACCAAACGCACACACAAAAAAGAACCACACCAAACGCACACTTTTGCAGGGAAAAAAATAAAACAAAGCAACAGACAAAACAATGTACGAAATGTGACAAAACTGAAAAATTAAATGTTTCGCAAATCAGCCTTGCCAAGGTCCCACGAGCGGCTGCGGGGCCCAGCAGCTGTACCCTGGAGGTCTGGCGGCAGGGAAGGCAGGTGCGGGTGGTGGTACGACGGGTGGTAATCGGTGAGCTGCGGCGGTACGAAGCCGCTGTCCAGCGCTGAGCCACGAACGCCTGGTGACGTCTGGTGCAGGTTCAGGATTCTGAGAGACGGGGTGGAAGGCGGGCGGGGAGGGGGGAGGAGACGCATGGACGATTAGTTTAACACGTAGGCTTTCGCAACCAATATTATTTATAGTAAAGGTTTTTTTTTAAGTTAGATCACATAAATATAAACGTGGCGTTATCCCACCACCACTAGACACAGCCAATTAGTAAGGTTTGTCAAGTCAACAAAACGTGCCAATTAGTTACTACTCAAGCACACGGTGTGTGTGGAGAGTAAACCCCCCCCAAAAAAAGGCCTCCACACCCCCTTGCTCGATATTCCTCACAATGGCATATTGATACAACAATATACAGCTCTGAGTCAGTGGGGGAGAAATGGTAGCCAGTGGAGAAATCAGTATTTCATCGCAGGGAGTTTTGTACATGATAGATTAGTGAGTTACAATCCGTGTTGAAGACCTTGGAGTAATTATACGACGATAAACTGTTAGTAAGGTACTTTGTGGATGGCATCATCTGGCCATAAAAAAAAACTCCTTCAATAGTCAATTCGATTCGACCTGGATTTGAAAATGGATGTTGGTCTAACATGCCCATTACAGGCCCCCATGAACTAACGTGGCTGGACACTCACCCCCGCGAGAGCAGTGAGGGAGAGGGGCTCGCTGCTGGAAAGCCACCGCCGCCGCCAGCACCGCCGCCACCACCGCCGCCTCCGCTCTTTGCGAGCGTGCTGTCCTGCGCGTCGTCCTCTTGGTCGCTCTCATCGTCGGATGATGATGACGACGAGCTATCCAGCGTCAGGTCGATAACCTCCACCTTCTTCCCATCCACGCTCACGCGCTGCTCCGCGATGGACTTGCGCTCGTCGCTGCACGGCGAGCCATTGTCGTAGCTGTTGGAGCCTGTGCGTGCAAACGGGCGATTCGGGAAAAAATAAGCGCGAGCCGAATGTGTAGCGTGTTCCAGCCAACACCCCCCCCCCAACCCCCGCTTCAACGATCCGCAGTCAACAGCACGGTCAAGTCCTCATGACCACCACTATATTTTTCTTGCACTTCACATTCAGTGATTAGAGGCGCTCTGCGGCAGGGTACCCGTGTTGCGAAGCTGCGGTGGCGAGATGTTAACTACCTCACTTGGTACACAGGACGTCGTGGGTTCGCTCCCGATCACAACGCCTGTATATATGCATAGAGTATTTGGTTGCTATAAATTTCCACATGACGATAAGACACTTCATTGGGCTATCATTTGTGGTCAGGTCGCTTTTGCAATATAGAGCTATATAGCTCAGTGGGGCTTAACTGGTAAAATAAAAATGGTTACAAGTTTTTAGTTGGTAGCTGTCCCAGGCACAAGGTGAAACGCAGCACCGGCCAGCAAGCGGGCATTATTCTGCAAATAGGGGGTGATGTTACAACGTGGTTTCTGAATTGAATTTCTTAATCATGTCAAATTTTGAACCAGGCTGAACTCCACTCAGCTTTCAGGATCCAACAAGATGAGGTGCATTCATGGTGATGTTATCGTATGTAGGCAGCACGGTGCGGTATGCTACGCGTGTGTAGGTTAGTTGCGCGATAACGGTATAGCTTAACACAAAGATCTCCCTGCAGACTAATTCCGCGGTCTTCCCGAGATCTGATGAATCGGATTGGGGGGGGCGCATTCATGGCGATTCGGTTACAGGGTGCATCACTTACTATCGATGGTGCCGAAGTGCATAGAGGGGCTTGTTACGTCCTGGCACTCCTTCTTAGGCCTCATGGGGCTCCACGAGCCGTCCTCCCGGAACTTTATCTCATCCACGTCCGTGCACGAGCTCAGAATCTCCATGAACAACCTGCCGAGAGGTGCATTTACAAAGCGGCAGTTAACTCAAAATATCAAAACAACGCGTACAGCGTGCCTTCAAAATAATACGAGCCAACCGATACAAGGTCTCCCCGCGAATGACAGAGTATATTAATGGGGACCCCACGTACAAAACACTTGTACGTGCGGAGCTCAAATATTTTTACAGTTATTTAAAGAAAACAATAATTGTTATTCGCTGCATAGCCATGCTACGCAGATATGTCACAGCAGCTAAGCAGTCCCAGTTTAGTCCTGGATAGTAACTACTGTAGTAGCACTGGACTGTGCAATCCACAATTGGCTTAATTTTCTTGTGGTATCGGTGGTGTTTTCTTACCGTTTGACCAATTCTTTTTTTTTAGAGAGTTTTGCATGTGGGAGGTAACCAGAGTGACCAGAGACAACTCACACGAGAAGAGAAGAGGTTCAATGTCACCTCCCATACTGCCATCTCCTGGCCCCTCCCCCACCCCTCCCCACAGCCCAGCCCGTTTGAGAGTTTTCACACAATAAGTGTGCATGATCCACCAACGCTGGATTAATGTAGACCTTCCATACACTTTGCACAGCATCATGACTGCGCTCAGCGTCTGAACTGCCAAACATCTGTAACTTCGTGTAGCCGTTTCAAATTACAGGCACGGTGGTTATTATGAGATGTTGCCGTCACGTGCAAGCACGCTGGTGCTTCAAAGCAAAACCAAAATAAACAAAGTATTGATTTCTTTTTGACATTTAGCAAGGACAAGTATAGTCCTACACTTGCTCGAAAACACTTTACTATAATTATCGACTTGGTTGCACAACGCGCAGCGACTTGGGTTATGAAAACAACAATGGGACATGTCATACACCCTAGCGCCCGCTGCCACGAAAAATTAGACGCAAGCTGTGCCGATGGCCGTGGTGGTGCAAGCCTGTAATCCAGCACTGCGGAGGTGAACATTGGTGGATCATGCACACTTGTGTGAAAACTCCCAAATCCACTGGGCTGCAAGGTGGCCAGGAGACAACACCACAGCAAGTGGACCAAATTCATCTGTGCAGAGCATTAAGTGTTGTTCCCTTGTGGGAGTGAGTTTTTTCCAGTGCCGTTTCCTTTGACATGGAAAGCACTCGTTAATGGTCAAACATCCCCCGAATTTTAAGACTGGGTTGAGACGTTCTTGCTTAATCTAAGGGCATTAATAACGGTTTCAAACCAAGTGTTACCGCAACAACTTTGTCTGTACGTCCATAACGTGGCGGCACGATAACTCTTGTAACAGTGAACTAATATGAACTAATTTGCAGCATAAAGTTGTGTTACAACTGGGGAATTTCCTTTGAAATTGGCCAAATTAATCCAAGGGTTGGCACGTAACTTCAGACCCAAACTAAAGCAAAGAGGACCTTTTGCAAATAGGCCAACACAGCTGCCCACAAAATTCAAAACTGATAAAGCCTTCCAAAGCCAACACACGTTGCTAATGCTACACGCAATTTTTTCCACACTTGTTGTTCGTATTACCTATTTGTTATTGCCATCGATAACTATAATTTACCCATCGATGATGAGGCTGTCGTAGGGGGCTTTCTTGTCGCACACGGGGCACACCCACGTTGGCTTCTTCTCGTTCATCTGGATGTAGAGGGCGGCGTCGAAGCACTGCAGGTGCGTGCAGGTAAGTGCCCGGCACGGGATGGTCAGCCGCATCTTGCCCAGCTGCGCAAGTGAATCAAACGCAAGTGGTCCACGTGAGTTGTTGAGCCATGGGCTGAACACCAAGGCTTTTTTGTTAACCACTAGATGTTATTGATGCGTGCAAAAAAACCTGACTACAATAAGAATCCAATGTTGTTTTGAAAGTTGGTAAATTACGCACAATGTTATGAAGAGTTCTCATTAAAAGTTTTGTTTCATGATATTGCAGCGGTTCTCAAAATGTCACTCTGGTATGTTGAACTTTTTACGCACCGTACATAGCCAACCGTGCTAATCAATAATGGGCTCAGATCTACTTTAACGTGATTGAATCGGGTGCTAACGAGCAGCCGGCTAATGGTCTGGTCACCAACAGCAGTGCACAAAAATCCCATCAAATCGGTTTTGGGTTTTCACTTAATTCTGTGCATTCCAGCTCTGAGGATTAACTAAGATGGTTGTCACTGGACGAACCCTATAAAACAATTGATACAATTGGACTTAGAAAGTATCTTAACCCAACAGAATATCAAAATTCTGAAACTTAAGGTGTTTTTTTTTACTAATGAACCACACCTAAGAATCCAGTTTCATCACAACCTGAATTTGTAACCAGAAACTGCGGTGCTTGCTCAGTACTTTTACAGCATCAGACCTCGAAAGCATTTCTTACAGAACATTAAAGGAGTGCCATTTAGTAGGTCTGAGAAGGCAGACTTATTTGACTTCAGAAATGGTTCTAACGTCATCTTACTTATGACCGTCAGAATTCCAGGTGGAGGTTTATTCATCTCATAACCACGACGCTCTATGCGCAACGTAAATGTAATCAGCGATAAAGTGTAAAAATATCGTGGGTTCGGGTGATGGGGTGTCCAAGCGGCAGCTGCTGGTGTGCGTGAGCGTTCTAACGCGAAGCAGAAATACGTGCACTCACTGGACACAGCAGAGAGACCCTCAGGCTTGTGGTGGCGATCTCGCTGTCAGGGTCGGCAGTCAGCTTCTCTTTGACTGCGGGAGAGCAGATGGTCACGAACCACGTGAAATGGGGCGCCAACTCCCGCACGCGCTCATCGCTAATGATGCGGCGCTAGACAGATACTCTGCATCAACCACTGTCGGATTTGATACACTCTTGACTGCAGCCTGGTTCTAAAGCTCTAGCATTAAAATGTGTCCAGCATTAAAGTGTACATGACATGTTTTGAAAGCGTACGTGTACAGCACTTTCGTCAGTCCACTATTGGATGAGGGCCTCCCCACGCCGTGCCGGTTGTGGGGGTTAATTGACCGTACACTGGTCAGTGTGGTTTGATGGAGGTAGGGTAGGAGAGCATAGATGTACAAGCACAGAACTACAGTACAACAATGCATGTTGCTGCCCCAGTGCCCTCTGCTGCACACCAAGAAAAACCACTTATGACACCTGTAGTAACATACCAATAGGTAGAAAATATTCACCAATAGGTAAAATATATATTATTCAACTCCCATTGAACTTATCCAAATGTGGAAAACTGTACATAGATTGTACGCGGGCGACTGATAATGGCTCATAACTACCCCATTGAGAGTTCAATCCGAAAACAAGAACAGCTACGCAGAGATAAATCCCAACAGGGGCAAAGTACACCAAGAATGCTGAAAACAAGTTAATAATTACAACTTAAATTCTGTGGGCAACAAAACAAAGGGATGTTACAAACATGAGACATGTTATAGCATGTCCTTTTCAGTGGAAAGACACCCAAGAGGTGTGGCAGATTTGGGAATGACTGCAACCGTTATCAAAAATAATTATAAAATCAAAATGGGTTGCTTCCATCTTTCACGCTTTTGAGAATGTTGAAAAAATAACTATACACCAGAAACTTTAGATGAATTCCATTGTGGCGTTGTACTCTGCTCCAACATCCATGCTCTCCCCACTGTCAAACACGCACTGATCGGCATGGAGTTTTGTGAAATAACCCCCATGACCCAAAATGGCATGGGGAAGCAGCCCTCATCCAACAGTGGATTGTGACAAGGGCTGTAAGCGCACATGTACAAGGATGGCGTCGTAATATTGAAGTGAAAGTATACACGGCCCGTGCTCTCAAAAAGGCTACCCACTAGGTGTGAATCCTCAAACTATTATTAGTTTTAATAATCTTTATTGAAGTGCTGATCGACAATGATCCAATTGGCGATAATCACGAGTATGCTGTACACGTGTGAAATAGAGCACATTGCACCCATTATTCTGATGCAATTCACAATTTAATAAGCAGTAGCAAAGAAGTACATTAAAACGTCTACTTAGAAACGTGCTCATTAAAAAAAGTATTAAATTATTCACAGCAGACAGGACTAGAATTGCACGTGGACTAGCCAAGTAACCATTTCACATCCCTCATGACTCAATGGATTGCTACAATTTGGGGGGTCACAATTCGACGACTGATCCCTTTGACGTAATGTTGCAGCCAATGTAGTGCCTCTAGTGGCTGCAGGTGTTACACTAGTGTTACAACATTCCTGGCTCCTTACGCTCGCGCGATTCAAGCGGTGCATTGTAAGCACAGGAAACGATCCTTGTTGATAAAGGGAATGAAATTTAATCTCTACATGCAAAATAATTACAATTCCAGGAGCAAACCGCTGAGATGACACAAAGGCGTGTGGGATTTGTGGATGCGTACTCAGCGCTCTCGAGTGGTCAGAATTGCGGATTCCCTTGGCCTTCATCCGATTGAGAAGCAACGACGAGGTGAGCTGCTTCACAAGGTATACCGAGATGGAGTAGTTCTGTGGAGGAACGGTCGCACACGTTATCAAGGCCATTATCTCTGCCCGTGAATAATCCAAAGACACCTTCCCCTACAAATGGCTTAAGCCTGCCCTTGCCTCTTTAGGCTGTTGCGCCAGGCTGTCCCAACATGAGCTTAATGCTTTGTTAATGAGGAAGTCTTGTCGTGGCCTGAAGGCAGTGATGGATTGAAAAGTAGCGGTGTAAACAGGTGCACATATTTTTTCCGATATTGATTCTTAGGCTCATGACAAGTGCATGAAATTGCATGTGTAAGAATCGATGGTTTAACATTTGCTTACGGAACGGGTTCAATTGAGTCCTTTAGTCATTCGGGGGCCACCTTATGCACCACAATATAAAAAATGCTTAGTTAATCGAACAACAACTCTGAATCGCAATTTATCATTCAATTGCGAGTGGGGTGAAAGCACATGACTGACACTGCAGCGCTGTTACTGGTGTTCTTAACCAATATAAAAAATACAAACTAACGAATTTTCTAATTCATGTTGCATAACCTAGCACATAGTATAGTATATGCAACCCAAAAGAGCATATGAAAATAGGAACAGCATTAATATACTGATGGTGTAAATTAATCAGAAATATTTGTTTTAAAGAATGCAAGCTTCCTTTAAACATCTTCTGAGTGCATGGCAAAATCAAATATGAAAACACATCAAAACACTTTAACATCCAAGGTTGCTTCCTAAGCATCAAGAGTAAAAAACACACTTAACTAGTTCTGCAACTGAGTGAACTGTAGAAATTAAAAACAAGGCTTACAAATCCCATTTTGAATCATTCACCAAAAACCGTTTTAAAAAATAAAAATAACCACAGGAATTGCACACGCGAGTGTGAACATGTCCGAGTGATCCCGACGACCAGCACCTGCGTGTGTCTACGCACGCGACAGGGAACGAGGAGGGGCTTCAAGCAGATGTGGGGGGGGGGGGGGTCCAAGCAAGAGAATTTGGGGAGTGGGGCTGGTGGGGGGCTGGTGGCGGACGGGGGGGGGGGGGCCTCACCCTGCCGAAGTCGGCTGTCCACGATACCGTGATGTGGTTGGGCACCGTCGGGGATAGCCGCACGTACGCCGTGATGTTGATGGGACGGCTTGGCCGCTTGGGTTCCACACCATTCTTCGTCGGCGGCAGATAACCCTGCACACACCACGCACGAAGCAAAACACGTCCATCGTCATTTGTACCACGGGGGAGAATAGGAAACACCATGCCACCCCCACCACCAACCCCCATACATACTTAAGGGTGAGATTACATTTTGATTTAAAGCTTTCGTGACTGCAGAGATTCATATTCTTGGTTCTTTCGGTAAAGTCAAGTAGAAGGGAAACAACAAAATAAAAATATAAAACAATAAAATAATAAAAATATAAAACAATATTTTTATTATTTTATTGTTTCCCTTCTACGTGACTTTACCGAAAGAACCAAGAATATGGTGAGATTACAGTTCAATTGCAAAGTGTCTACAATCCACCAACTGCCTGCAGAGGTAGCACTGCGCAATTAACGCAGTGCTTATTTTGAACTTCTTTTGCACTGTACGTAGCCTTAGGAGGCAGTTGGTGGATCACACTGGGATTGTCACGTGCAGAGAACACGAAGGGTGGCAAGATTCACCGCCTGGCCCCTCAACTCCCTTTCCCCACAATGAAATTGTCTTGATTTAGGGTCACAATTCAATTAAAGTTTGGCCTATGACTAAATCTCCTGGAACATGCCCGATCTCACCAGACCTCGGAAATTAAGCAGGGTTGATTTTAAATAGTGCTTTGATGAGCAAACACCATGCACAATTAACTGTGGGGCGCTACCTGATGAATGGCCGATAGTATATCAACAAAATCCACTAATTATATTGCTCCCACATCTACTCACCACCTTCACACCAACCTGCACCGACCAGCATGGTGAAGCATGGTCAAACCACCGCTCCGACCGAAAGACATGGGGGATTGATACAAAAAAGGCTCTACGTGTACATTTAACATGCTATTTCCTTTAACACGGCTAAAGAGTAGGAGTGGAAAACCGTGTGAGCGATCAATATATACACGTACCGGCAGTGGACAAAGTTTTCCGTTCACCTTCACACAAAGGTTCGCGGGGAAATGATCTTCCTGCGGACAGCTCGTCTCCGACAGGCAGAACCTGGGAGAATGCACACACATGTCAGCTTGTCCAGCCTGATGTAACATCCGTTTGCACGCATGTATTAGCTCTAGAATTACCACAGTTATCCAAGCAACGGTCGCGCGATCAAAGGAACCATAACTGATTTAATGAGCCATTCGCAGTTTCACTGTAATTTTGTAGCCTCATGGTCATTTTGCACTGCTTGAATTTTGCACAATCAAGTACTTGGCGAGGACTGCAGCCTGAAAAATGCTACATAGATGTAATTTTCATAGATACCCTTTGGAAAAAAAATACATAGAAATACACCGGATCATGTCAGATCTCAGAAACTAGGCAGGGTTGAACCTGGACAGTGCTTTGAAGGGCAAACACCAAGAATAGTTATGTTTATCAGCAGAGGGCTAAGTCTAAAATCCCTTGCTGTACTGTACTATGCAAAAAAAATTATTGCTCAGCATGATCAAGTAGGTCAAATAACCCCTGTGACTCATGCCAAGAGGAGAGCCTCATTCCACAATTGAGTGACAAATGGGCTCTTGCATGTACCGTTCACCTTTATCGCTTAAACAGGCTGTCACCCAGTAGTGGATTCAAAAATGGCTGTAATATTTTCTTTGTCATTTACAAGAGCATCTTTGCCCTTCAAATGCCTTACCTTAATTGTACTTGTACAGTGAAGTCATACTTTTGGCCGGGCAAGATGTCCCTTCAGAAAAAACCACAACATACGTGAGGTTTTACTTCCGTTCTTGAGTCAACACGTCAGCTGCAATGGAAATTTACCCCCCCCCCCATTTCACAACAAATATTTACACAAAGGTGAATTCGTTGGTTTATTATTAGACTCAATAAATGTTAATGTTAAACAGAACATGAACAAGGAACGGATCTGTCCTGTTTGCACACCCTGCACAAATCATCCCCCTCTATGAAGTGCCACATAAATATGGGCTCTTTAGCCCTTCTGTCCTGAATGATAATATCCGTGATAACATGCAGTCTAAATTTGAAGAGGAACAGACATCCACTCATATTGTGGATGATTTCCCTATGACCTGAGGAGATGGAGGGCAGAGCAATGAACATTGAAGATGGCCCTGGTGTTGCCAAATATGAATTGACGAGGGAGGGGAGACCGGTAAGGTACGAGATACCACAGTCGAGCACTCACCGTGAGCTGCTGATCTGGGCCACCTGCTGTGGCGTCAGCGCGAAGACGTAGTACGTTTCCTGGAACCGCTGGTTGCTACTCGTCACTGTAAGAAGGCACACCCACAGCTCACGTAAGAGTAACATCACACAACGGCACCGGCCGTGGCCGGCAAATGCATGATGACGAGTATAAATGTAACAACCCCCACAACCGACAGTGTGGAGAGGCCTTCATCCATCAGTGGACTTACAAATACATGTAGATTGTAATCACAAGGTATTGTGGTGCAAAATCACAGCTTGATGTTATGACGCTTTGTGTTTCTGTTTTCATCTGGGAATGTGGACAGCGGTGAAACACCAATTGTCTTGCAGCTGCCCACATCAAGAAGTTTTGTTCATCCAGGAAAGCACATGACCAGCGGCTAAAATAAGAATGTTGTACCGCATCTAACATGTCTTGTGGCAAGCACTTAATGTGACCTAGACATGAAAGGAAGCCATGGGAATGACGGATGACAAAATTTCTGCCGATCAAATTAGGCCTCGGCAAGGTAAGGTAATTTACCCTCTTTACCAGGTAAAAGGGTAAAGGTGTCGACCATGCCAAGGGGTAAGGTAAAGGGTAGGGTAAAGGTAGCGTGGAAGAATTACCCGGTAGGATAAAGGTAGTGCAGTATTACCTAGTAAATACCCTGTTTACCGCTTGCTAATAGCTCCGTGGCGCAGTCCGCGGCCCCCATTTTAAATTGGAATCATTGATGTCGGACCAGATGGAGACAGAACACGTTCTTGAGGTAGAGGATGAGGTCGAGGATGCAATCGAAAGAGGCAGTGGCATGCGTTCCCGTGGGTGCACACGCACAATTGGGTGGAGGGTGATCCCCGTGTGCAGCAAAGAAAGTGGCAGTGCGTGCACTGCCGCAAGTGGTTTTCCTCCCACACGAACACATCGGGGTGGAAAGCCCACCTCAAGAAGCACAACGTGCTTGCCCCAGGCAGCGAGGTCGGGACGTCGGCGTCGGCAAGCTGCCTAATGCAGCAAAAGCTCAGCCGGCCAGCAATCCCGGATCGCCTCCTGGTAAAGTTTGAGAACGTGGTGGTTGATTGTGTTATCCAAAGTGCAATTTCTTTGCGAGCCGCCAGCAGCGACAAGTTCAAGACCTTGGTCTACATATTTATGCAGGGATACGAGGGCCCGTCGACCCGCACCATCATTCGCAGGATTGTCGAGCATCACGCCATCATGCTGTTCATCGTCGGGGCGTTCTTCAACGGGTGGTCGAACCGCAACCTGAATGGATTTTGGATGGTCACGGTGCACTGGATCGACACCAAATCTGGTGGGTCGAAATCCATGCTGCTGATGATCCTCGATGTGCAGTCCGGAAGGGGTGTTGGCAAGCGCATTGGCACTACTCTGTTTGAGCACCTCCAAAGCCTTGGGTACAATGTCTCGACCAAGCTGCTCGCTGTCACCAGCGACAATGACTGCGATGCGATCAGTGCTGTCAAGACGTTGTTCGCCCTGGTTAACGTGGACGCCGGATATAAGCAGTTGCGGGCTTGCCACCATATTCGCTGCGCATCCAGATCGGCGTCGTCCAAGTTCTCAAACTGATCAAGTCAACCAACGCCGAACTGCGCGAGGCACTCGTCAATATCAGGCACAGCAAGGTCGTCCGGCAGTCGTACCACCGCAAGGCCGAGATCGCCAAGCTCGCCAGCAAGGAGCCGACGCACCAGGACTCGCCGAACAGGTGGAATTCGACATTTGACATGGGCGACGACGCCATCAAGAAGCGTGTCCCATTGGACATTATCATGGCGCGCTTCCAGGATGTGATCAGCGTCGGTGCTTTCTCTGAACTGCAGTGGGCAAACATCGAGGGCGTGATAGCATTCCTGTGAATGCCGCGCCAGGTCATGACCTCATTGTCAGCGGACTGCAAGCCGACATTGGATCTCGTGCCGGTGACGATGGAGCACCTGATCCGTGATTGCGATCGCGGTGAAGCCGCTCTTAGAGCGATCGATGAGTCCTTGACCACGACGGGGATGAAGGCCGAGCTGGTGCGGTACCACAACTTCCTGGTTCAGGAACCTGCCATTGTGGCATCCTACTTGAATCCACAGCTGCCGAAAACGACAGACCAAGACGAGCTGGGTACACTGAAGGCCACAATCCGCTCTGTTCTGCAGCATCGCTACTTGGACGTGCTCGCGATCCCGCCGACGGCAGTCGCTGTCCATATGTATGAAGGGTCGCTGTTCAGCACCCTATTCAGTAACGTCAGCAGCTCCATCGACGACGGCGATGCAGTCGATCAATTTCTGAGCATGGGCCTCATGATCGCCAGCACCTTTCATTGACGTAATGCAGTGGGTGGTCTCCCCGCAAAGAGCTGCTCCCTGCCCACTACAAGATTGCCTGCGACTACTTGGGAGCGCCGGCGATGTCAATTCCCTGCGAACGCGCGAATAGCTGAGCCAGGCAGGAGTTCTCATGCGTCCGCCAGTTGCTGTCGTCGACGCTCTTCATCCAGTCCATGTGCTTGTGTTCGTGGATCGCGGCCGGCTGCCTGAAGATCCCGTTTAACTGGACCGGAGTGGCGCAGGATCTTATTGTCTGTCGTTCGTCCGAGGACGACGGCAATGATGAACTTGATCAGGTTGTTGATGAGATTGTCATCGACCAAGACGCATGGGACGAGGTGGTTATGGAGGACGGTGTCGTCGACAGCCTCAACGCCCGATTCGAGAATATTCTCAATGAATAAAGCGCTCTACCTCGCATTTACCTGTTACAAACCTTTTTCATGTGTAGTAACCCGGTAATTACCCTTTAATCGGGTAATTTGTATGGGGTAAAGGTAAAAGGTAGTGTAAAGGTAGACTCATTGTTTTTACCTTTTACCTTACCTTGCCGCGGACTAGATCAAATCCAATATATTATATTATAAAACATGCTACAAAACTGTCCCGATAATGTTAACAATTTACCAATACGGCTAAATAACGAAGCAACCATAATGTACTACTTATATTTAAATGACAACCATCTGGTGGGTTTTCAAAGATATTTTGCATACAAATGTTATGGTCTTTGTTCCCAGCACAAACAGCGAGCAACAAAGGTAATGGGAGTAAGGACAGCACGAGTGTTAATAATAAGCCTCTTATATTGAGCAGGGCTTACATGTTTGACTTTAAATTAGTCACAGTAGGTGTATCTATTGTTATTTTAAATTTAGAGCTGGAATTTAGGCAAACGAATAGCAGAAACAACTTTAAAATCCCCATTATGATTACAATTGATATGCAATTAACAGTGAAGGTCTCATTGCATGATGGGTTTTTTTTTGCATACTCATCAGTGACTGGGCCAGTTTAATCACAGGTGGCTGCTTGAATTCTTATGTATGCACTTTATTGTTAACACAAAGGCTAGCAACAAAGACAACTTGAGTAAAAATAGCAAGAGCCCATGGCAAGCATCTTAAATTTATGGCAGGGGTTTTAAAGACAGTGCATCTTTATTGCAATCACACTACTGGCTCACAAGTGTACGTATGAGCAAATTAGTTTTGCGGGTGATGCAATGAAACCTTCGCTGTAAATTGCACATCAATTGTAATTGTAATGGAGATTTTCACACAAGCAGAAATTGTTGACTTCATTGTGTCCACACACGCCATGTGGAAATGTTGTATGACATAAGGTGTTTACTTTAAAAAGTGCCTCCCTCTGAGAGGTACATTTACTTTTTGTCTTAAATATCAAAAAAACTTGCAACAAGCCTCCTTGCGATTAAATTAACCATGCGGATGTGGCATGATTCAAAGTTATACTTTTTTCCCCACAAAGGTTTCAGGGATCAAGTGAACAAATCACATGCAAATTATAGCAATAGACGATAATTATTTTGCACACTATCCGATGGATGCATTCCAAACAGACGACTCGATTTTAATCAATGAACCAATCCACCATCTAACACCTCTAAAGATAAAGCGAATTAAGCTGATAAAAAAGCCAAGTGTAAAAAGGCCGAATGATAGCGGCGGGGAATGATACGGGATCGGAAATTAAAATTTTACCGCGCCACTGCGTCGGCAACACCATTGTCGCGCAGAAAACAGGTGCCAAGGTGGCGAGGTTTTAACTACCTCGCCTGGAATATAGGAGGACGCGGGTTCAATCACAACCCTGACGCCTGTATACTTGGAGCTTGCATATTCTTCCTGTGGTCGCATGGATTTTTCTCGATTGTTCCCTCCACATATATAAACGTGCGTTTAGAGTATTTGGCAGTCATACATTTCCACGTGATAAGCCACTTCGTTGAGCTATAATTTGTGGTCAGGTCGCTTATGAAAAAGAGCTATATATATAGCTCATTGGGCCCTACCTGCTAAAATAAAAAAAAGTGTTGTTTCATAGTTTTAGTTTAGGCGCAACCCACCAAGACTCGTGGGCTTGATGAGCTCGTCGAGGATGTCGTAGAAGGGCAGGCTCCTGAGGCGCACGTCAGGATGGACGGGGTGGTGTGTCCGTGTGGGCAGCGTCTGTGTCGGCGGCTGCGCGGGCGGCGTTGCTGCCGCGTGGGAGTGGAGCTGCTGCTGGAGCGAGCGCTCCATCTCGCGGCCCGGAGCGAGCAGGGGCAGTGGTGAGACGGGGCTGCCCGCGTCGTAGGGCAGATGGGTCGTGGAAGAGGTTACGGCCGGGGTGGGAGATGTCACGGCCGGCAGCTCGGTGTTTGCTGTTGCCGTGCCTGGACTTACCTGGTCGGAAGAGAGAGCGAGGAGGATTTACAACGGGTCAAATACTAAGCTCATTCAGGGGTAGGGTGTCCAATTCTATCCTATTTCCTAAAAGCCCATTATTTCCATGAAGACCATTTAGAACTTGTAATGCTGTTTATAAAGATGTTATATTAACAATGTATATAAAAACAAAAGGTAAAAAAAACTGAAACCAATGAAAATCACACGTATAAAGTACTGAACTCTGCTTGGTGCGTGATGTTTCTATGTAGCGTGGAGAAGCAGGTAACACGTTAGCATTGCTTTGCACACTGTTCAATTTAGTTTAGGCTTTGGGACCACAAAACTTTATTATTTTCCAATTTTATTACATTTTTAGGTATTGCTAAAAAAATCCCGTAATATGCAGGGCAGTATATCGGCACACGTTATTTTGAGGACGCACCGTTACTCCTGGCAGCTTGTGCGAATGGATTGGCACATATTGATAAAATTGTAATGAGTACGTGGGACCACCGTTGACATTTAATGCCAATAATTTGCAAGAGCTCGTGTAAGCTGAGGTGAAGCGGCTTACTCAGTGCATTTCTTTCCAGCACAACAACAAAGATCCAATTTCAGCCTCCCACAACAGCAGTGTCAATTTACATCCAAACGTGCCGTCTGTGAACGCTCCAGGTGGGAGATTTATTTTTGGAGGATTTGTTTATTTTTTTACAATCACCAGCAAAACAGGCACTCACAATCACCGATGATCATATAACATGTACAAGATGCCGGATGAGGTCTGATGTAAATTATGCCAGAAGGAGTGGCTGTATATTACAACTTTCATTTCTGTGTGCACGTAAACTACAGAAAGCAGGTTTCCAAGTGGCACAGCAGAGCTGCCAAAAAACAGGAGCATGGGTTCCACCGACTAACCATGCGATGCCGAGGCAGCCGTCGGCGGTACAGCTCCTTGATTTTAATCTGCACGGCTGGACTGCAGCCACTTCTCAACAGTTGCAATGCCCTGGTCAGAAGCTCCTGTTTCCTTCCGCTCTTGTTTCGTCCAGCATACCCCAGCAACACCTGCAGCTCTGAGACTCGAAAACTAAGCACCATATGCTGCGGAGAAAAGGACAGAAAGGGCTGAATGAGGCTCCTGTTCACTGGGACATATCACCTGCAACAAAACAACCCGGTGTCCAATCTGGATGGGAGACTGTCTGCGAGTACAACGTATTGTAGGCTTGGTGTGCAGTGGCCAGAAGATGGCAGTACGGCAAGGGATTCTTTAATATGTGTGTGCAGCTTTTGAGTGTTACCTCCTCAACGTGTTGTGGAGAGAGGAGCAACAGCTTGGCTGAATGAGGCTCTTGTACGAACGAATCCTCTTACCTCTGACTAACCATCATAAACGTACCCAATAAACTCAAAAGCTTGTTTGGGAGACTCTCTGGGAAGACCATGGGCTGCTAGGTGGCCAGGAGATGGCAGTAGAGATTAGGATAATTAATCTATGTGGAACTTTGAGTGTAATCACATGCACGTGTTTTCTCTCGGTACAAATGTTTCACTCTACAGAATTGGTCAAATGTCCCAATGCAGGACTCTCCTGAAAAGGGTGTCTCTTAACACTCGGTGACACTTCCCCAGGTAAAAGGCATTATTCCTAAGTTTATTTTGGGTTATATCATGTAAATATAAATGTCGCCCGACAGCCAATTAGTAAGGTTTGTCACGTAAACAAAACATGTCAATTCGTTAATAGTACAGCACACACTGATGTGTTGGGAGAGTAAACCCACAACATTTACAATGCGAGTATGACGTTTCGCCAGTAACTACAACTCGCATCACCAGGCGACAGCCAGATTTGTGGAGAAATCCTGTTTCGTTCTTTAATATATTCACGGTCTAACCCAAAGAAACTGTTATGGATAATATTGATCGCGAAAGCCTACGTGTTAAACCAAAAGGCATTATTAATATAAATGTAGCCATGCTTATATAAGGTCACATAAGGCAACCAGTTTGTAGCATAAGTGGAGATGAACGGCACGGAAGTTAAACTGGGCGTGACTATTGGTAAAGTCTAAGAGGCAGGACTTATAAGTTAAGCTCACGGTACTTGGTTTAAACCGAATCAAAACAATGACAACCTTACAATACCCCCCCCTCCGCCTCAAATCACTGCACCTGAAATGAGTTAAATGATGACGTCACCCTGCTGCTCTATTTAAGACCGAGAGCAAGTGAGGGCTTTACCATTCTGGCGAATTGCCCGATGATGCTGGATGTAATTACCAGCGAAACGTCGTATTCAAACTGTAAATATTGTGGATTCACACTTCAACACACCGGTGGGCTAAAGTAGTGAACTAATTGTCTTTTGTCAACGTGACACTTTATTTTGCTGATTGGCCGTGTCGGGTGGTGGAGGGTTACGACACATTTATAAATAACGCGATCTAACCCAAACACCTTTATTATGAACCTTAACATTGTTTAAAAGTTATGCTTCTTACAACTTCACACCAATGGTCATAATAAACCCAGTTTTATTTCCTTTGTGACAAACACAAGTTCGGACCTAAGTGTATACCCATTTCAATTTAATTGTGATTAAAGGTGGCGATTCCAATGATAGAATTACTTTATTGCTCAGAATAAGGGTATATATACCGGCCTGCGGGGGTCATGTGGAACCTATTTCATACAAATTATACAAATCGAAAACCAGATTTATATGCACGATATTAGATGCATTGAGCAAGTGATGCACTGTTATACTGCTTCCCCAGTATTTACTCTCCTAGGCCTTTGTTCAGAATAATATTCCTCATGTAAACTGGACTAACAAATTAAGATACACAGCTTCTGGAGTGGCCATTAGGATAAATCAAATGTTAGCCTGGGCCTTATGGTGCCCAAACCTAACTTCAGTAGATTATCTGCATTGACCATTTTCTTACTTGAGGCTCCTGAAAATAAACACGAACAAAAGTACGCGGCCACTAGCATTGCACTTTCATAGGAAACAAGAGCTTGAAACATATCACATTACACGCTACATGTAGCTTGTCAAATCATTGCTAATGGTATAGAAAAAAATGCTCCAAAATAAGCAGCACATAATTACGAGTTCAAACTTCGATTCAACGTTGATACGTGCTCGTTTGTGCAGTTACACTTTGACCCGACTTGGTTCGCTGAAGCAAAGCGCGTTTTACTCAATTTCACGTTCCCTAAGTTGAAGATGAGATTAAACTTTCACTCGCCAAAGTTGTTTTTATTTTAAGTAGCAAGCTTAATCACCTTATTATGCCAGTATACGAATCTATTATACTCTAAGAGAAGCCGACAAAATCCTCCACGCGTCAAGTGCCAATCGTTAAAGTTGGCTCCTGCCCCTGTGGTGGAAATTCCACAATCCTATGGTGGGTCTTCTCTCTGCTCAACACAAAACAGCCATCACCGCTGTAAATTTCCAAACAAGTTCTGCAGCCTCTTCAGAATGCAACGATTTTACGACCGACGGCGAGATGACTGGTGGCGATGGGGCCAACTAAAACCTGTCAAATACACATCGATGTTTACAGGGTGGTCCATATATCATGTGACCCCCATTTAATTCTCTAAAGCGTTACATATTTTTTTAAAGGAAGGTTTATTTAAACCCAGAAACAATTATGCAAAGGGATGCAAACGTTAGGGGTACATTTACTATTAGGGTGGTTTTTTATTTGTATGTGTTTCGGTGTTTTGTTGAGCTTTGTTGTACTTTGGAGGCCTATCGTGTTTTTGTACTGTTTGTTGTTGTAACGTTCTGACCCCGTACCCCTACTGGACATGTGAAAAGTAGCTTTATAGCTCATCGGATTCCTCCAGCATAAATATTCTGATTCTGAGTTCATAACCACTGCGCGAGCTTCAACTCCTAAATAAACGACAAACTGTATTGACAAGAGGCTCTCTCATTAGACCAGTGCCAATGGGTACGTTATAAAATAATGAAATTGGCAGTTTATTTTGTCGCTTTAGTCTTAACATGAATAAAATAACATTTGGATGGAAATGCAGCGAGGTAACCAACTTCAAAGATTACAACAAAGCTATCTTATTCTTTTAGCATGGCCATGTTAAGTCATCCGTTCTTCTATATTAACTCCAGTACAGTGCGTTGTTTTCTTTACACTGTATAAAGATGCCGCTTCAGTAAACTTAAGCAATGAATAACAAGGCCACTAAACACAGGATTTATCTGCCAAATAAAGGAAGATCGATGCTTCAGTTGATTGGCCTTTGGGAAAACTGTACAGTACCGAGGGGTACAGAAACCCATCTTGTCCAGTATGTGCTACATAGAGATGTGCCACTAAGGGAAGTTCTTAGTCAATGCAAGCCACTGCTCCACACTGCGTGGGTTATGGGGGTTATCTGAGCATACGTCGCCACGCTAGTCAGCACGGGTTCATGGCGGGTAACAGACGCAGAACCATAGAAGCACATTACAATGGATTTTGCTACACTGCCCTCTGCTAACCCACAAGGTACCAACAGGTCCCCCCCTCTGTTATGCACGGGTTGTTACCAACCTAAACACTACCTGAGGCTGAACCCTGCTTAGCTTCAGAGATCTGGCGAAAGGGCGAATTCCGAGTTATTTGATCAAAGGGGCACTGTACAGTACTGTATAGGACTAACACTCAATTTAAAGCGAGTAAACAAGACCACCGAAGCATCGTTCACCTGCACAGTAAACAAAAAACTCCATTATTCAATTACAATGTGGATTATTTACCCCATACACGTTTCAGCAAGCTCGCTGCAGTGCTCATGTTTACATTAAACACCCTAGCAGAAGGACGAGTGTTCCCAAACAAAAGGAGGCAAGACACGTGCTTCTCGCCCTCGTGGTGTCCACACTCTAAAAAAGGCCTGTTCCAAAAAACATTAACACGACTACAAAAAAACAAATTCTGAGCTATTCAGTACAGTATTCGAGTTAAACGAAACAGGATTAACAGTTAAAAACTCATTTTAATTTAAACGATTCGGTGACACTGCGTTGACAGCGCTTTAAAAGAAAATACTAATCCAGTATACAATCGGCGACTTTTTGGTCCAATGGGCCTTCTTCATGGCACATAGATGCCACACAGTGGATACGAGACTGCACTTGTTTACAACACAATGCCTGAAAATAACTACATTTAAACATGTTCCCAGAGCGCTACATCTGCATATGGATCGTTACATATGGGCCTCTTGAGTAACAGACACCGTGCAATAACATGTATGAATACTCATATAACTAAATGTATTTTACTGGCATACTGCATTATGCGAATATTTTTTTTCACTTTACGTAACCTGACATTGTCATCGTCTCGTCCACGTGCTCCCTTAACCGAAAACCAACAGTTCCTCTTGACAAAGACATAACAATAGTTAGTTAGTGTTCTTGGTATAAAGCCGATGACCAAATCAAGCGGAATGCGCCCGATCGCGTTAGGTACTGGACGCCAAGTTTGCGCGACTCTGGTTAATGCTTGGATGGGCAATCACCAGGCACAAATCCGGTTGCTATAGGCTGCAGAGTCTACGTAGTGGACATCAGAGGGGGGGGATGCAGAAAAATACAGTTGTACTGTACACATTACTTATTTGCGCCCATGTCTATGCATGCTCACGACCTTAAAACCCAGCCACACTGAGAAATAACACCCCCACGGGATCACCTAGCAGTGGACTGACAAAGCTACATGGGTAAAGCAGTTGTTTCTCATGCTTCTGAATACAAACGTAACGTTCTTGTAAAATCAAATTTAAAAAAAACCCCACCCCCGGTTATTATATATAATTGACCAGTTGAAGTAGTTTGTTTACATTTCGACCAGCAACGATTATAAATGTAACGCACCCTCGCGAGCTCCAAACTCGCAACCAAAAGCAATTCCTTTCCGTGGCCAAATGACGGACAATGGCTCAACACCTCCATCCACTGCGCTCTCCCCTCGTGTCCAAATCTCTCTCCAGCTCAACGTGGGAGCAACCCCAAACTGGCTCAGAGCCGGCGCCGCCAACACTTCTCGCACGACTCCTACCCACAGTTTTAAAACGAGTTAACGCAGTTTAAACTGTCGGGGTGGTAGGTGGGTCAACAAAAGAAGCCGAAAGCCTCGGCGTGTTCGCGAAATCCACGAGGCCACAACAGAGGAGAGCCATTCAGACAACCCCCCCCCCCCCGAAGGCGAGACAAAACGGAACAAAACACGAGCCACGCGCGGCCAAAAGGCACCGCTCGACCCCCAAACACCACGCTGCCATTCCCAACTTCATTCGCACAATTACCACGACTATATATTAAACACAAGGAAAAACACCGCAAGATAATTAAGACAACACGAAAGGTCCCCTTCCAACCACCGCCAATGGGAAATCGCCGCTTTGCCGGCCCCCCAACCACCCACCACCCACCCCCTTGACGTGAAGCGACCGTAATTTTTTTTGGCGCGGCAAAAAAAAAACACCCGAACCCATCGACGGCTTAAACCGACGGCAGAGAGGAAAAGCGCGCCGGTTGTAATCTCCGGCGTGAAGGGGAGAGGAGGGGGGGAGGAGAAATGTGAGGAATGAGCAGAAAGAAGCAAAGAGCGGCGTCTCCCACCTTCAACTCCGCGCTATCCGCCATTTTCGGACATTGTTCGGCGTCAAACAAGCGCAGGCGCGGCGGGGGGACACGTGGTGTGCGACGTCACGCGAGGGGCGGGCGGAACGAGGGGGGGAGGGGAGATATTGAGGGGGGGGGGGCGGGTTTCCGGTGAGTGGGAGGGAGGGAGGGGGGTATCAGAATATTTATTTGTACTGGAGGCTATCCGATGAACTAAGAAGCTCTTTTCTCACACATGTCAAGTGGCCAGTGGAGTATGTGGAACTGTAATTGAGTAAGGGGGGGGGGGTTCCGGTGAGCGTGGTGAGGAGGGAGGAGGGTGGTGGGTGGAGGGGTTGCGTATGGGTGCATATAAACATGTGGTTCCGGTGAGCGTGGTGAGGAGGGGGGTTGGTGGGGGAGGGGTGGAGTATAGGGAATTAACATTGAGGGGTGGGGTTCTGGTGAGCGTGGGGGTGGATGGTGGGGGGAGGGGTGGAGCATTGGGGAATTAACATTGAGGGGTGGGGTTCTGGTGAGCGTGGTGAGGGGGATGGTGGGGGGA